AATGTTAGTGAATGTGGAGCTTGTTCTCTGTTTATACACAGTAGCTTACCCTGCCAGTGTCACTAGTTACTAGGGAGAATGTGTTCTGGTCTTTTTGTTTCTGTCTTAGCCTTTTTTATTGGAGCCGTGGTGAGCTACTGGTTAGAATGCAGTATAGCAGGCTAATTCTGCCCACTGCCAGGAGTTCGATCCTCACCAGCTCAAGGATCACTCAGCCTTCCAGCCTTCTGAGGCCACTAAAATGAGAACCCAGATATTGCAATATGTTGACATTGCAAACCATTCAGAGAGGGCTGTAAAGCAGCAGTCCCCAACCTTTCCAGCTTTGTGGATCAGCAGTGACAGGGGTGGGGGGCAAAGGCGTGTACCCACCAGAGACACAAATGGAGCTTCTGTGTCCCATTTCCCAGTACTGGGCTATGGAGTGGGGGTTGGGGATCCCTGTTGCAAAGCACTATGGAGAAGTATATAAGTCTAAGAGCTATTGCTATTGTCTATTTTGAATGGTGGATAAATGTGATTTATCCCTATGTGTCTATTGATGGCTGATTTATCTGAATGCCAAGCTTTTAGGAAATTGCTGTCATTTTTAGATTTGGCTTGGTGTGGGGTGCTCATAGTTTCCCAGTTGAAACTATGGTTGACTCTGTCCGTGTGTTGTGAAATTAAGGAGTTTTCATAATGTCTTCTGCCTGCTGGTTGGTGTTCATGGATGCTCTCTGCTAGTCTTCTGCCTGTCTGTCATAAAGCATATAGTGGCTGTTCCAGTCCTTACACTGTATGTTGTAGATGACTCTTGCTTTTTCTTCTCAGGTACAGTAATTAAACATCTGCAAGAAAACAACCAAGCTCAGAGAGCACCAAGGACTCCACAGTTCAATCTTGAGCTGCCTATATTCTCTTTAATGAAAAGCTTTGACCGATTAACAAAAATGAGAAATTAAAAGAAATCCAGACCCAACGTTCTCTCCTTACAAACTGCACTTTAACACGGATATTTTAGAAGGAACACTTACCACGGCAAGCTAAGCTGCAGAGGTTCCTTGAAGAGCTGCGGTGGTCAGCACACCAGGAACGACTGTTCATCTGGAAAATGCCATATTCAGAAGTGCCATCAATGTTCTGGGTCACCTTAGCTGTGTTGAAACCACTCGCAAAATATGCCAAGCAGACCCCTGAAGGGAGAAAGTGATGTACAGATTGACATCCGTGTGGAGGTTTTGTTCAGAAAAGAAGCAGATAAGAAGTAAGCAGATAAGAAATAAAGACAGCAGATTATTTGCAGGCAGATTATTAGCACTACATGATGAATCCAGTTTGCCTAAGGCTTGAATGGCAATGGCGCACAGCAGGTAGCTGGTGTGGAATAGAAATAGAAATAGAAATAATAGAAATAGAATAGAATAGAATATTTGAATAGAATAGAATATTCGAATAGAATAGAATTGAATAGGAGGAATGGAATAGAATAGAAATAGAATAGAATAAAATATTCGAAAAGAATAGAATGGAATAGGAGAAATGGAATAGAATAGAATATTGGAATGGAATGGAATAGAAATAGAAATAGAATAAAATAGAATATTGGAATATTGGCATATATGTGAAGATATGTCCCTGCTTGTAGTAAAATGCAGAAATTAGTCCTGGAAGATCAATTTGGAAAGGAACTTTAGTGGGATACAGGTAGTCCTCGATTCATTTAGTGGCTGTTCAAAGTAACAACAGTAGTGAAAAGAGTGACTTATGACCATTTTTCACAAGACTGCTGCAGCATCCCCATGATCACGATTGAGAAGAAAATAAAATATCTGGGGATCAATTTGTCATGTATATTATTTCAAAATATGCTAAGACATGGAATAAAAAACTTGCAAAGTGAGAACCTGCATAAGACACTGAACTAGGTGGAAAAAAGGGAGTTGCTGGGCAGGGTGCCAAATATTTGCAGATACTCATAAAGGTGGAACCTTATTCTTAAGCATTATGTTGCTCAAACATGTTTTATTGTTTATCTTGTGTTCTTTGAATAATGAAAGTACAGCTGTGTGAAAAAGTCCTGCACGCTTTCAGTTTTCAGCTGCATTTACATGTTTGATCAACTTTTCACTCATAGAAACCATGCAAAATTAGTACTTGGATGAAAATTTCTGTAATCGGATTGAGATGCATAATTTTTATTAATATCACCAAAGTCTTTTAAAGGTTTTGAGTGAGTTTATATGCTAAAACAAACACAACTTGAATTTTCGAGAAGGTTAGGATCGAAAGTAACCAATCAGCAACGAGCTTTGGCTGACCTATC